GTAGCAGCAGCAGCAGTAACAGCAACAGCAACAGCAGCACAGTCACCAGGAGGTTAGGAAAATGTCGTTGATAGGCTACAGTCTATTCAGCAAAAGATGGAATTGTGCTTGAATGAATACCTATGTAATTGCATGCCCTTTAGACTTTATATCGACCTACGCAAAAAGAGAAAGAGAAAGAGAAAGAAAAAGAGAAAGAGGAGATAGAATGCTGCGTAATCATACTATAAATATAAGGGTGTGTTCACTCGGAGAACTTATTTCAGTGCTGTTTGCGTAGTTTCAAAATTGACGTCACTCGAAGCTAACAACGAACCTGTACAGATCCCTCGACTTCCTTTTCACATGGTTTGTATATATATATTTCCATGTTACATATATATATATATATGTATACATGTGTGTATTGTGTGTGTCCATATGTACAGGATGGACCAAAAGTTCTTAAACTTGTAGTTTTTTTTAAATTAAAAAAAAAGAAAAAAGGAAAAAAAAAAGAATAAATAAAATTAGTTTAAAAATTATCGAAAAAGAGTAATTAATTTTTAAAATTATCTACAAACTTTTGGTTCATTCTATACATCGTTACTTTAGTTCACTGTAACAAAAGTTGACGGGAATTAAATACCTTTTAGTAATTTAAATTTTAACCAGGGATGATTTACTTACTTCGATTTTTTTTATATAGACTTTTATTATAATTTTTTTTTCTTTTTTTCTATTTATCTTTTTTATTGTTTTCTTTTAGCTCGTAATACTGTTTCTATTTTTAAACGTTGGTATTCTATTAAAAGAAGGTTAGTAGACAAGTTTTACGTTTCTCTCTCTCTCTCTTTCTCTCTCTCTTTCTCTCGCTCTTTCTCTCGCTCTCTCACTCGCCTAATCGCTCTATGAAAATTCCAACAGCATCGAGAAACATCTGGTATACTCGTAAAATATGCAAGCAATATTTATGTATGTATATATGTACGTGGATGAAATATCTATGCAGTGAATATTCAATCGATAACGTCAAAGCATTTATCAAAGCTTGCGAGTATAGTTGGTATTTTAAGGAAATATAAAAATTGTCTTCTAAGGAATATTAAAATATTATCTTATGAAACGATTCCTTTGAATTCAAAGAAAATAAATGTATCGTACAGTGTTATCTTATAAAATAATAATTTACAGTAGATAAATTTAATTATTTAGGAATCTATATTACCGACCGAAAATATCAATGATAATATCATAAAAGTTTATCGAGTGTCGGTAATATTCGTATATTGTACGATGAATGGATAATATTGTACGTATTATCTATATAGTAAATATCGGTCACTTTTAGAACTGTCCTTATATACTTTGCAATATAAGACACATGTGTTATATAGTAAAAGGAATATTCTTCATCGGCGTCTTATCGATTAAGAATTGTATAGGAGTATTTTCAAGATTAATGATATAATTGAAAGTGTTCATGAATATATATTAAAATAAAATATTACGATTGTTTTTCATCGAATCAAAACTTTGATGTAACCAATATATTCTTTCGTAAGTTTTTACAATTAAATATAACGAACTAACCTCTCTTTACCTCTTACAATAAATTTTACTTGACTTCATTACTCTTATTTGTATTAATCATTGATAATATGTATATTTTCTTTTGGAAAATATTTTATATCTAAATTTGATAATACAATTACGTAGTAAAATATTTCATATGAAAATAATATAATAAATATTTTATTTTAAGCTGATCAAATCATGGACAAGAATTGGATGCCTAAAGTCGATTTGAAGAAAGATAATGCTAAAATAAAAAATCTTCATATTACTTTAATGAACGAGATAGAAAAACAAAACTCTGAAAGAGTGAAAGATTTGATTAAAATACGACGATCAAATAGAATACTTGGTTGTATTTTAGGAGGTACAGTTTTTTCAATCTATTTTTATACTATATATTCGGTAAAGCAAGAAAAGTTCTTAGATGATTTGAATGAACCTGAGAAAGTAATCGTACCACCTCAAACCAATGCATAAATTATTTCTAAAATTTGTTAACTCGATTAGTATATATATATATATATATATATATTTATAACCATATAAAAAATTTTGATTTCATAATAAAATTTGAATATATATTTCACACTTGATTATCTACAAAGTGTTTTATAAAAATACAATTGCAAGTGTTATATAGAAAAATGTTGAGTATAAGATTACCTCCTTTTCCAACTATTAAAGATATCATTAAATTGTATAAATTGTCGGCCTTAAAGCATTTGTCACAAAACTTTTTACTGGATGAACGACTTATCGATAACATTATCAAGAAAGCTGGAAATCTTAATGGAAGTCATGTAGTTGAAATAGGACCTGGTCCAGGTGGACTGACAAGATCAATAATAAGAAAAGGTCCTAAAAAATTAATAGTTGTGGAAAAAGATAAAAGATTTAAACCAATATTAGATATGTTAGCGGAATCTTTCTATCATGTAAATGGTCAAATGGATATTATATATGAAGACATTAGAAATTTACGTATGAACGATATATTTCCTATGGAAGAAAAAAAGGAATGGATGGATAATACTCCAAATATTCATTTAATTGGTAATTTACCATTTAACGTTTCGACCATTTTAATAATTGAATGGCTTAAAAATATATCAGAACATAATGGTCCATGGACATATGGTAGGGCAAAAATGTTATTAACATTTCAAAAAGAAGTAGCAGAACGTTTAGTAGCTGAACCATTTGATAAACAAAGATGTAGATTATCGGTGATGGCACAAGCATGGACTCAACCACGTCTCTGTACTATTATTCCAGGTAATTAATTATAACATAGTACTTCGAACTTATTTTCTTTTTTAATTTAATTGCGAATAGAGATTGATTTCATCTATTCTTTTTTATTTATATCTGAAGGAAAAGCTTTTCTTCCAAAACCGGATGTAGACGTAGGAGTTGTAACTTTTGAACCATTGAAAGAGCCACGTACAAAACATGAATTTAATATTTTTGAAAAAGTAACAAGACACATTTTTAATTCACGACAAAAATACAGTATCAAATGTGTCAAGTAAGTCCAATATATTTCTTTATATTCTACCAGTATTAAAATTTATTTGAATGAAATTATAAAACTTTTGTCTTCTTTCTAGAAAACTTTTTCCAGAATATTGTAGAGAAGAACTTTCCAATTTGGTATATAAATTAACTGACTTAGATCCAATGATTATACCAACAAAACTTACTGTCGAGGATATTGATAAAATAACAACTGCTTACAAATATATAATAGAAAAACATCCTGAGATAAGCTCGTACGATCATCGTGCATCGCATCGAATACTTAACAAAAAATATACTGAAATTTTGTCTGTTAATGATATTATAGAATGACAAGCATCATAATTTATATTATTATATTTTGTTAGAATGTAATTGGATCAGAAAAGATGATTCGTATATATGTACCATGTTTTATTTTATTTAGTCGCAAGATGTAGTTTATTACAATTGTTTTATAATTTCAATTAAAAGAGCGTACGTGTATAAAATATACACTTATATACATGAATATGGCTTAGCGTTTAAATAAAACTATAGTACAATGTACAATTTTCATTAATGATGTGTTAGCCATAGTAAAATACTGTTAAGTATCATTCAATTTTTTTTTTTGAGAGAAATGCATTTTATATAATACTAAGGAAAAAAAAAGAGGAAAAAAAAATGAAAAAGAAAAAAAAAAGAAGAACAAAGAAAACATAAGAGACACTTAACGATAATCTTTTTCTCAGAAACGCATTAAATCGGCTCTCATACATTTTCATTCAGAACTTTGCAAAACCCTATTACCTCAAAATCGATATTATTGCCAGAGATTGACGAATTTTGATAAATGTAATCATGGAGGATGCAATGTTGATTTTTGTACCATGGTTCCCGAAATTAATAACGAAACGATAATACCCAATACACCGGTTGATATCACAGCTACTCTTCATTTTTTTTTGAATTATAAGAATATATACGTGTATATATATATATATATATATATATATATATATATATATTATCATTATAATAATAAAAATAATAATTATTATCAATATTAAATAGTTTTATACACGTATATATATATATACATATATACGTGTTATCTTACACGTATTTTTTAGATACGGGTAAGATAAATAAAATAAAAATAAAAAAAAAAGAAATCTCATATATTATATGTATTATATAATTATGATTATATATTAGTTAGGAATCGATAAAGAAAATTCGTTGCGTCCTATTATGATTACAGTTACGTAGGAAACTTGAGTTTCTGCAACGTACTGTATAATCGAACACATACACACAAAAAAAAAAGAAAAAAAAAGAAAAAAAAAAAGAAAATGAAACGATAATCGATTTAGTCAATAATATAGACTAAATCAAAAGTTCCAAAGACTTTCTGTTTGCTCTTCGACAATATATCGAAGTGCAGTGGAAATCATCGTAAAGCAAATTTTCCTATTGATTTTAATTTATAATTTACTTTGGAGAAATATATTCCTTGCCTTTTTTTCTCCCCACTTCCTTCCGTTTTTCTTTTCTTTCGCAAAAAAAAAAAAAAAAAAAAAAATTGTGCAACTAATTTGCAATAATTTGGTAATTTGCGATTTAATATTACTCTCGCCTTATTCAAATTCATTGTGATTTTGTTCTATTAATTTCTAGCAACGCCGCATATCATGATATTAGGTAAAGCTCCACGACGTTTGCGCCAAGCACCTAGAGATTGTGCATGAGCTTGCAATGTTCTACACCATCTTTTCGTTCTGGCGCCATCCTCAGCCTAAAATGAATTTATCGTTATAATTATTATGACATAATTAATAAGAGAATTGATCCGATTTGATCTTTTTATCGTGTGAACATGATAGAAAAAAAAAAAAAAATAAATAAAATAATGCGATTAAATATTACCTTGAATATAAACGTTTCCTTGGAAGACAATTCTTGTATTTCAAAATAATCCTCAAGATTAGTTTCACAACATACTATACATTTGTCGAGATACAAGGGTTCCTAAAAAATATTATTTGAACACATTGTGACTGGATAATAAATTAATTAATGATTTAGATTATTCATTCATTTTATCTACTCACGCGTAATAAAGAATAACGACCAATTTTTTCTTTCACCAAAAGTAAAGTTGCATCCTTGATACCTATGTGTCTTGGAAAAAGTGAATCATCATTGAATTCCAAATATTCAATGGTTGGCTGAAAAAATTATTTTCTAATTAGATATGAGAATCTTTTCTATTATATGAAATTTATCATGGTTCTCTATCTTTTTTTTTTTTCTTTCTCATTTTTCTCCTTTTTTTTTTCTTTTTTATTTTTTTATCTTTTAAATTTACCTTGCCATTTGTGACAAGCATGGCAGTAACAGGAGATAGCTTGACAGTTCTACCTCGTCTCCAATTATTGTCCGTTGGCTGAGCAACCAAGAGACGACCTTCCAGAACAAATCTTGCCTCTTCATGAGCCCATTCCAAAATTTCTACAGCCATCTATAGAAATAAAAATAGGAAAATAAGAAAAAAAAATTTTCATATATTTATTCGAATTGATAATTTTGTTAACAGTTAATTTTGAACTTTCTCTTATTAGATTTTTATGAAATTTTAATTATATTTGTTTACCTTTCTTAATTTGATGTTAACCATATCTTGCTCGCCGGTTGATCGTCTACCATTTTGTATAATTGAAATTCTTCTCCATAATTTTGTAGACGTAACATCCTTGGCTTCCTATAAAGTTTATTTATTTATAAATTAACAATATAATTTTCGACAGATTCTAATAATTATATATACATATAAAAAAAAAAAAAAAAAAAAAAAAGAAAGGAAAGAAAACGAACTCGAGACTGGTTATTTTAATTATTTTGATAATTTTAATTTTAATTATTTATAATTATTTAATTTTAATTAATAAATATTATTATTACTTACAGCATTCATATGTTCTAAATGCAATTCTATATTAGTTTGAGCTTGTTTGAGTCTCTTCTTCGCTTCTTGAATATCTGGTCGGACTGATGGCGTAGCTTTTAACAATCGTGCCAATAATAATGGATATTTAGTTACTCTTTGAACTGGGACCTGAAAATAATTTTTTTCATAAAATTGACAATTCAATAATGATAAAAAAAAAAAAATATACTATACCATTAGAAAAGAATTAAGATTCATTCTACGTAGAACAGTGTTCTCCATTTGAGAGACCCTCAGAAAAATACGAAGAAGTTCCTTTTCCTTTTCTAAATTTTGTAAAAGCAAACTTGCACTGCCTTGTCGAGTGCAATAACTTTCGAATGCATGAAGCATCCTTTCCGATTCCAAAAATATTTTACCGACGTCTACTGTTAGAAGATCTTCATCACCCGATTCCTATATTATGCAAAAAATATTATTAGTAAATTGTTGATATTTTTATAAAAATAAAAGTGAATATGATCTAATTATTTTCTACGAATGAATTAATTTTTAAAAAGTTTTTAATTTAATTTATTCATTTTTTTCCCCCTTTTTTTCTAACGTATGCAATATCGATCGATTTAATATTAAAAAAAAAATATATATATATATATAAATAAAATATAAAAAATTATGCAATAAAATTGCAATAATCTTATATCAAGTTTATATGAAACGCGTTAGATTTAATATATATATATATATATTTTTTTTTTATAAAGATCACCTGAGCAAATTCAACCGAATCCTTCAACTTTTCAGCGAGAACAAGATTATGTTCTAATAATTCTTCGACATTGAGAAAGATGGCTGACAATTGTTCAGACGTAAGAAGACCTGCATTCAGCATCGGACGATGAAATTCTTCAAGAATAATTTGTAGATCTCTGCCGTATTTTTGTTCGGTCTCAACGATCTCTGTAATGATCTCCTTCCGTTCGGCTCTTTTCTTGGAACACTTCCTGCATACAAAGGGTGCATAAACGACTCCACTGAAAAAGTAAAAATAAAAAAAAATAAATAAATAAATAAATAAATAAACCAGTTAATCATAACTTCCTTTCTTGAAAATGTCAATTTTTCAATTATGCACGAAAGAGAGAGGAAGATAGAGAGAAAGAAAGAGAGGGAGAGAGTGTATGCTTGTCTGTGAAATTCAAAATCAAAATCACTTTCGCTTGATCATTTGCACCATTTATCGATGAATTATGCGTCCCGATAAGGATACTTTCGCTCTTTACCGATAAAAGGAATGACAAATAAGAGGAGAAAGCAGTTTGTCATGTGACCTGACTTGCAAACATTAGCAAAAAGAGTATCGACACTTTAAAATGTTCAAATACGATCTAATCGTTAGTTCCTGCGTATTACATCCAACATGTCATCTAATTTAATCTCTCTAATGAAGAAAATAATAAGACTTCGAGAAGAAAAATTTTCCAATCATTTTCTTTTTTTTTTTTTTTCTTTATCAAATGAAAATGTAACGTCTCGTCAAAGCTAACAACGTGCTAATTAGTTATCTAACAGTAGAATAAAATTAACAAATAACACTCTTTCATAGTGTTAAACGATACCTTTTTGTAATTTGACTTGGAAAATTTATTATAAACGGAATGAACATGATAAAAATCTAATCTTGAGATATAAAAAGAAATTTTAAGAGTTCAATTTTCTCATTGAAATTGTTGAGAAGGATGATAACATCTGGTATTTTACCTGTCCGTTATCAAAGGATCCAAACGTTGTTCACAATCCTCACAGAGTTTCGTATCACCGGAAATCACTTGCGGTATTCCGCTAAGTAGACTTCCTGGTCCGGACGAAACGTTCCCGCTTCTCCATCTTCTTGCCACACCTCGAGTACTACTAGCTTGACTACTTTCTGACCCAACACCGCTATCGGTCCTTTCGATGTCCACCGTTCTTGACTATAACAGGATTAATAATTATAGTTATATATATTAATGCAAATAAAATTATTAATTAATTAATATTCTTATTTATAATAGATAGAATTTATTATTACCAATAGGTCAAATTTATTATGAATTTTTTTTTATTAAAGAAATTTTATATTTTTATTATTACTATTTTGTAAATTTTTATAAATTGATTTCTATTAAAATCTTATCAAAATTAAAAAAAAAAAATAATAATAATAATATAAATTATATTTTTTTATATTAATAATAAAAAAAAAATAATAATAATAATAAGATTTAAAAATTTATATTAATTTATGTAACAACAATGAAAAATAAATAAATTAATTAATATGTAAAAAATTATAATATAGATATATATATAAAAATATTTTGATAAATAATATATAGCATAAACTACAGGATGAGACAAAAGTTTCTAATTTTGTATTATAGTTCTAGCTTAGAAAAGTATCGAGAAAAATTTTTTAAATAATTAATTTTTTTTTAATAACACCTAAGAAGTTTTCGCTCAATATAACTTAAAAAAACAAAGAAAAAAAAAAATCGATAATTACCTTCAATGTTTCCGGCAAATTAGTCAAGATAATATTACATTCCTCGCTGCTGTCAGAAACATTTGAAATTTGTGAACTCTTAGAACTGAGATCGCCTAAACTGGTTTCCTTTTGTTCATAGAGTGCCTCAAGGTCACCTTCAGTATCCTCCTCCTCGTCATCATCCTCCTCGTCCTCCTCATCAACAGTTGTTGTACGATCTTTCGAATCCATCAGAAAATTAAGTAATTCAAATTTAGTCGAAATGTTTTCTTCGTCAGGCGATAGTGATATCTTTTTAAAGAAATCCTCAGGACTCTTTGATAGATAGGATTCAGCTAGATCGTCTGAGTTTGTTTTTTTGAAAACTTCCTCCGATAAATAAGAACCCATATATTCGCCAGATCCAACCTTTTTATAATAATCGACGTCACTGAAATAAATTCTGTCTTTAAGGAAATCTTCCGAAGGTGGTGGGCTTAATGGTAATGGTGGTGGCTCGTCGGGGATCTCTTCATAAATTGGTTCTTTTATTACTTCGTAAGGATTTTCTTCGAGAAAAAGATTAGTTGAAACGAAATCGGTGTCAGAGTTCAAGCTAGATGATCTAGAATAATTGGCCTCTAACGTTGACTCTGAACTTTCGTATTCTTTGCTTTTTAACAAGCTCTGTTTTAAAATCTTCAAGATAGCTTCGCCACTGTCATGATCCAATATCTCACCATTTTCACGTGCTTTTCTCAATGATCCTTCCAAAAGTTTAGATATCATAACTTCTTTTGAAAGATCAGACCATTTGGGGGTGGAATCATCAGTTTCTTTAAATTTTTCTTCAATCTGATTTTTCGTTTCCTCATGCGAACAAATCACACGTGATAAATGATTGGATTTTGTGGATATTGCTGTATCGTTAATGTTTCTAGATTGTTTATCCAATTTAACGGTTGTATCTTCTAAGATATTGATGACAGGCTTATCTTGCTTTGATGATAATGATAATGTGTCTTCAAGGTTCCTCGAACGTTCCTCGTTTTTTTGACACTCGATTTTAGTTTGTTTCGATCTAGTATCATCGTTAGTCGATTCGACAACGATGTTAGATTTATAATTATCTAATATAACCAAGGTACGATTTTCAACGGAACTTTGAATCTTTGGAACGATGTCGGAATTGACTGATATCACTGTTGGATTGCAAACACTGTCCTCGCCGCCAACACTGATGGTGACTTTGTTATCAGGAGTAGATTCAACACCGGAACTTTGATCACCATTTATCAATATCGACGTTCTCTTAGCTGTTTTTGGAAGTCCAGGTCCTATTTGTAATCTATGAACCAATGGCGATGCTCGTGGACTAACCGTGATCTTGCAAACATTACTTTCGGTTGATAATGCCGGTCCTATTTCAATTTTCGATGATCCATGCGAACTATTAGAGTTCCAGGATAAGGTAGAAGCTGATGATACCGATCTTCTATGATCCTGTATCGATCCAGAACCACCTAAATCTTCGTTAATCGTTTCGGAATCATTGATCTTAAAACGATGCTTTTGTCGTCCAGGTGGTGGAGACCAACTCGTTGGTTTCATACCACGAAAATGTTCCTGTACTAGATTTTCTTGATCTTTCGTCAACGATGATCCAACTGTTTCTACTTCTTTGTCATTAATTTCGAAATTTTTGTCTGATATTCTTGATTCTTTCGTAATATCTTGTTGAGATTCTATTTTTATAGTTTCGGTATCAGTACGAACTATTGGATCTGTAATTGTATTAATAATTTCTGGTTTTTTTGATAGATCATGATCGACGTACATCGTACTTTTCATCGATTCGTTCGTTAGAGTTATTAACGCCGACGAGGATTCTTTTATTTTCTTCCCTAGACTTAGACGCATCGTATCGGCGAAATAAACATTTGTTGCCGAAACTTGCGGCTTGCTGAACGATCGGTCACTTTGGCTACGCGACAAGAAAGGTCTTCTCGAGTTCTCTGAAAAAAGATAAAGAGAAAAGATTAAGTATATGAATTATTTGAAATTTTTGATTAAACTTACGTGTTTAAAATGATGAAAATTAAGAACATTTTTTATTGAATTTTGAGTGAATTAAAATTTTTTTAAATTTTCACACTTAGGCTGTTTATAATAATCGATTGATATATATATATATATGTACACAACTACAAAAAAATAGTATTATAAAAATAGGCTAAGTAAAAAAAAAAAGGATAATTTTTAAGTAAAATTGTTTTTAGATCTTGCACTTTAGGCCACTTTTATAATAATCATTGACACATATACAACAAGGAATTGAAGTGGTATTACATTATTATTATTATTATTATTATTATTATTATTATTATTATTATTATTATTATTATTATTATTATTATTATTATTATTATTATTATTATTATTATTATTATTATTATTATTATTATTATTATTATTATTATTATTATTATTATTATTATTATTACTATTATTATTATTATTATTATTAAAAATTGTAACATCGAATTTATAAAAAAAAAATCATTTATCCACACATTTCTCACTTTGGCTACTTTTTATAATAATGAACTTTGACACATATATTGCAAGGAAGTAGTGTAAAAAAAAACAAAATTACAAGATTCTCACGATTCTTCGTATTTCGGTTACACCAAACTCTTTTTTTTTCCTTGCACGGAAATAAAACCGCACGTTGAAATCTGAGAAGTTGCGAAACAAAAAAAGAAAAAAAAAACGGATTCACGTGTGTTGATCAATATGAAAGATTTTAAAGGATACACCTACAAATATCGAGCAGATCATTATAGATTTTTATACTTTTTATTATTTCTTTTTTTTTATTTTCTTTTTTTTCTTCCTTTTTTTTTTTTTTTTTTTTAATTAAAATACAAACACGAATACGTCGGACGCTTTAACGTTGCTTTCATATATTTTCTTTGATCGCCGCTCAACATTAAATTCACTCATGTTATGAGATAATTAGAGGAAAGCGATCTTCGCGATAATGAGAAATGAAAAAAAAAAAGAAAATGGGGAGTGAGAAAAAGAGAAAGAGAGAGAGAGAGAGAGGGAGAGAGAAAATATAGGTTATACGTTCGACTTCGAATATCGATCTTATCTTGAAGCCAATCCCTTTTCTTCTCGATCTCTCGACATACATATATGTATATGTATATACGTGCGTTCTGAATGAGTGAGTGAACGAGTATGTGTTTGTGTGTATGTATATATGCATATGTGTATGTATGTATGTATATATGTATGTATGTATGTGCTAATGATCGGTGAAAGTATCTATACCGACGAAGAGAATCTTTCATTGAGGTATGTGTTAACCTGCATGAAATCTCACTGGTTGGAAAATTGCAATGGTTTTTCCAACATTTGATCCACTTTTTAAAAAGGAAAATTCCACGAGGTCGGTCGATTTATTCTCTGATCGATTGTTGAATAATAAATAATTAGCAAATTTTTCAAGATCCTTTTTTCTCTCTTTTTTTTTCTTTTTTTCTTTCCTTTTCCTATTTTTGCGAATAATTGAAAGATTATAGTGTTTAATATAGAAACATAAAGGAAAAAAAAGGAAAGAACAGAATTTTTTGTTATTTTATTTTTTGTTAATTAAAAAAATATAAATAAAAAATGAAAAAGAAAAAAAATAATATCAGACTAGCTTATGATAGATGATTTTATACGTACGGCCATTTACAACCTATGAAAGATTATCTAATACTTACTTTTTTAAGACCGGAAAAACTATAAAAACGAAATATCAGATTTGTTTATGGTAATAATTTTATTCATGTTTATTTTATATGAAGATTATCTAATACTCGTCTAAAACCGGAAACAGACGATGAGGTAAAAGTCATTTCGTTCTTTTTCATAAATTTTTTTCCCTTGCAGTTATATGCATGTGTGTATGTATGTGTGTGTATGTATAGACACGTGTGCCTGTGTATATGCGTATGTATATTTTATATATATACATATATATAAATATACAAATATATATATATATATATTTGTAAAAAAAAAATATATATATATAATATATAATATATAATATATATAAATGTGATATCTATATATGGATGTTAAAAAATGTATCATTGGATTTTAAAGAGATTTCAGGTCAATGAAAAGTTAGAGTTTAAAGCGTTTAACGCTTCGAATTAGAACATAATAATGAGAGCATAGAGAAAGGATAGGTGAAATAAAATGGTGGTTGAACGAATGAATTAACATGTGTTGTGCAAGAGGGGATGCACTTTCGTTATGTCATCGATAACTAACAGAATACATATATAATAGTGTAACAAAATTATGTTTCAGAGACTAATTTGCACAATTCGAAAGAGAAAGAGAGAGAGAGAGAGAGAGAGAGAGAGAGAGAAAGAGAGAAAGTTATGGAGTTAATACATGACCGATTTCGTCTACTTTTAGCATCTGTTTAAGAATTTTCGAGATTAGGTGAGAAATCAAGATGACGACGTTAATTATAATAAGCAAAGAACATGTTTCGTAAGATCTTGTTTGTTTCTTGTTAAATCCCATTATAGTCGAGAAGATGATAGAAATTTAAGATTAATATCTATATAAAATTAAAGAATTAAAAAAGAAATACATAAAAAATTTAATATCCACTCTTTATAAAATAAAAAAAACTAATAATACCATTGTTCTTTATTGTTTGTTTCTTCGTTGGTTTCTAAGATTTTATCCCGAACAAACTTTTACAAAACTTTCTTACGAAATGTAAAAAAGAAACAAAATAAAGAAAAGATTAAAAAAAGATTTGATCCACTCCATACAAAATAATAATAATAATAATAATAATAATAATAATAATAATAATAATAATAATAATAATAACAATAATAATAAAGATATTATCATTTTTCCATTTTATCGTTGTTATTATTGTTGTTGTTGTTGTTGTTGTTGCTTATCCATTTCTTTTTTCTTGAGAACTCACTCACTAGAGGGAAGTCAAGAGTAAACAGGATCTTTATTTCAAATCTAATTTTATTGTACGGCGTATGTGAGGAGGACTGGCCCGATTATACCGGTAGTTTTTATGACGGTACCAAGATGGCGACCGATGGTACTTAGTAGCGTCTGCCGATCGTCGGAACTCGTTTCAGACATTATGACGCCCTTCGTCCGAATTTATTACGACGCATTTCCACCCGTCACACGCGAAAAGAAAACTTTCGACTTGGTTTCTTTTACGTCGAAGTCTTCGCGATACTTTGATTATTTCAAAGTGAAAAAACAAAAAAGATATAAACGGATAGGAAGATAAAAATGAAGAAAAGAAAGAATATAAATCGAAAGGTAAATTCGAAAAAGAAATTTTTGTTTTTTTATTTTAATTTTTTTTTTTTTTTTTTTTATAACACAAATAAACACAAAAATAAAAATACAAATAAAAATATAAAGGAAAAGTAAGAAACACGGAAGAACTTTTCTTCGGGAATCGAATCGAATCGAATCGAATCGAATCGAATCGAATCGAATGGAATCGGATGGGATCGAATCGAATCGAATCGAATCGAATCGAGTAGGGCCCGAATACAGCGGTGAAATTAGTATGTAACTATTCCTCCTACTCTTCGAGGTCCCGTGACACGAAGACATTTACGATACGGACGAAGGATGAACGTGCCCAACGATAAATATGTACACGTCCTTCCATATAAGGTGGACGACCGCTGTTCGCATTGTACCGATCCCTTTCGTATCTTTCCCACGCGTCCACTTTCGCGAATCGAATCACGCCGGTTTTCTTTCTTCCTTTTTTTATCCTTTCTTCTTTCCTTTCTATCTTTTCGGCCACGCACGGCCATGGAATTTCAACGTTTCTACCACAAAATTGAATTTTTTAATTTATTTATTTATCTTTTTATATTTATTTTTATTTTTATTTTTATTTTTTTTTAGTTTTTTTTCTTTTTCTTTTATAAGAAATATATAATATACATTAGAGTCGAGAATTCGAGAACAAGATGACCGATCATGGGATATCGTTCATTTGTTGTTTACTCGATCAATAATCTTAATAATATTTAAAATTGCAACCAATTAGATGTTTAACTTACTTATTATCGTGTTTTTAATGTTGATCGATGAAAAAAAAAAGAAATAATCATTTAAAAAATTATCATGAGAAATGTCGTTTATTGATTTGTTCTCGATCAATCAATGACGGCATAGTTTTCTTTAAAATTGCAACTTATTGGAACTTATCATTTTTTTCAATTGACTTATTAAAATATAATAAATTCATATCGGATTTGGAAGATATCGAGAAAACAAAAAAAAAAAAAACAAAAAAAAGAGGAACTGTATTAACGAGCATTTATTTATTTTATTTTCTTTTTTTAATCTCGAACAAAAGAAGAAAAAAGAGGAAAGATGAAAGAAAATTTAATAAGCAGTTCAAAATATCAAGAACAAAGTTATTTCCTTGGTATAACCAAAATCGATAATCCAGATTGTTATTTGTCGGCTCACGACATTGGCCAACCCTGACCTTATCCACTTTCAACGACTCTGAAAATCGAGTGTCTCGAATCTCTTTTAGGTTGTGATACAAGTAGAGAATATGCCTGAGGATAAAGCTCAGGGTCGGCAGGATCGGCTAACCTTTCTCCTCTTGTCGTAGAAAGTTGTCATTATAAGGACACACAGTAACTATGCCGATGGAATTTTCAACGGAATATTGGCCACTCCTGTTTTTTATAATCGTATTAAAAAAAAAAAGAAAAAAAAAGAAAAAAAAAGAAAAAAAAAATAAAGAAAAGAAAAGATAAAAATAAAAAAAATCCCAAATTTTTTTTTTATTATACAACGTGGATCAAAAAAGTTCTTAGAGGAGCCAAAAGTTCCTAGTTGATTCGAAAGATCAATCAATCTCTCTTTTCTTAAAAGATCTTCTTGATTTCATAGTTGGTTCTCATAGTTATTACAAGCTAGGCTCGAAATGCTAAGCTTGAAAGTCTCCAAAAAGGATAATTAATTAATAGAGCCGAACGTTAGATCAACATATGATTATATATCTTAGATCGTTTGATTGATATTGGCGAGAACTAAACGTTTAGAAATATTTCGTTTAATAATAGCAAAATAATAAATACTTCCTAACCAGTAAGAATTTACATAACAAATACTTGTTTATCTTTATCAATGACTCCGTATTCGCATGTACGATGGAAAAATATAATCAAAAGAAAAAAAAAAAAAAAGGAAAAGAAAAAAGAGAAAAAAAGGTTCAATCTCTCTTCGTTGATCAGGTAAAAAATAGAGTAAAAGTAGATAAGAAGATCGAGCGAATTTAAAAGCTTCGTAAAGAGTAAAAACAACAAGGACTAGTCAGGTTTGCCCATTCGATTGATTTTATGGATTCGTGATAAGAAATCCCAGGGAAGTTTGAAAGAAAGTTTGCCAAGGAAACGATAAACGTGTGCTCGTTATCCTTGAGAGATATAACTATTGCTAAAGTTCAAGAATGTTTCAGATAAGTCTAAATCGTCGACGTTAACATGTTACATTGATCAGAACGATTAGTACGATGGCATGTATCGTGTGTGTATATATAGAGATATATGTATATATATAAACAAAAAATACAGGATGAATCAAAAGTTCCTAGGGAATCTTGTAGTTTTACGTTTTGATAAGAAAAAAAAAAAAAAAGAAAAAAGAAAAAAAGAAAGAAAGAAAAAAACTATTTGGTTTAAAGAGTCTCGAAATGAAGAACAAATGATTTTTAATATAACTTAGAAAAACTTTTTGATTGATACTGTATTCCGAATGATATATTGATATCTTACCTTCCGACCTAAGGATTAGATCCTTCTCGTCAACTGCGATACACGGAATCCTATCGTTCAATTCTTCAATCTCGATCTCCAATTCCGTTTCGTCCTCCAACTTGATCTGATCGTTGTCTATCTTCTTACACTTTACGTAAGATTCCTCTCCGGATTTCTCGTACTTGGACGAAGAGATGACGTTCTCGTTCGATCTGATCGCCTCGATCTCTTGGCAAGACTTCTTACGTATATCAACGTTATCGATCGACTTGGTAACAACAAGATTGTCGACCTTCGAAGAATTTATATGCGCCGGAACGTTCCTAACTTGCGTAAGGATCTTAGAATCTTTGCTTTTACTTCTGTCAGCTTTGGGATCACTGATATTGGGTATGGTTATGAATTTATGTTTCTCTTGTTGTTCCTTAGGTACGATTGGTTCTTCTTCTTCCTCCTCCTCCTCCTCCTCTTCATCCTCCTCGATTATAATTGGCCTATCATCTTCCTCGTCTTCGTCATCTTCCTCGGATTCCTCTTTTCGCGTGTCCTTCGTACAATTGGCGAACCTACCGATTCTACTCCATGAAAGTCGCGTAGCCTCGGATGGTTTCTCGGGTGCAAATATAACGTTATCGACCTTGAACAAAACGTTCTTTCTCTTACTCTCAATTACACGGCCCCTTTTTAAAATACTCTTTAATGTTTGCTTAGCTTCCTTCAATTTTCTTGGTGGTCTTTTCGGCGATACCTTTGGTATCGGTATCCTCGTGACCGGTGTATTCTCCTCATCGTCGGATATTTCTCTGGGCTCATTGAATACACGAATCCTTTGACCACCTATCGTTGCCACTGCTCCTCTGTTTGGTATCCTTTCGATTGATTTAACTTTGGACGGATCGAATAGATTCGACGGTGTCCTCATATCCGCATCCTGTTCCAATGCATTATCCGATAGATCGTCGCTTAGATCGTCCTCGTATTTTTGTTTCTTCAATAGGAGATAAGGATTAACGTCACATTCGAGAATACTTCTTCTCGAATCACCGTGATTTTCTTGTACATTCGAGTTGGACGTTTTCGTTCTTGTCAATGTCGTCGGCAATGTCTCCGTTGACGTCAACGTGGACGTCTTCGTTGAAACTGAACAATCCTGATTATCCTTGTTTCTTCCAATCCCGTTCGATCTTTTCGAAGTACGCGGAATCGATCTTTGACATGGCCGATCGATTACGCCATTCCTTTGTACATCCTCCTTTTGATTCTCCTTCAACCAATAGTCGTTTGATGCACCAACAAAGCTGTGTCGTAACTTGCGACTTCCCGGTTCCTCGTGTTGTTGTTGTTGTTGTTGTTGTAGTAGTAATTGTTGTTGCTGTTGTTGCTGTTGCTGTTGTTGTTGTTGTTGTTGATGTTGCTGCTGCTGCTGCTGATGATGATGATGATGAGAATGATGAGGATGCACCGTACCTTCCTTGTCGTACCACTCTAATCTCGAAGTAGTACCCTCGATCGAACCCTTTCGTTCCTTCACGTTCCTCATCAATACGCTCTGGCTTCGTGAATCTCGTTGGGACGATGGTCTGTGTGGCGAGATACTTCGTGCTCTCGATCTTGGCTCCACCAATCTGTTCCTTCGCATCTGATCGTATGGATCGTCCATCGCTGGTTTCAGTACACCTTAACAGGTATACACATTATCGTATCGTATGTCTCAAAAATATCTTTCAATATTGATAACAAAATTCGTAATGCACTTTGAACGATAAATCGAGATAGACTATAGAAAAATGTTCTCTCGTTACGTCTATGCGTAATGATCGTAAAAAAAAAGAAAAACAAAAAAATATTTTTTTATATTATGTAACAATAAAATTCGATTGACGAATCTTTTGCTATAACTTTTCCTTTAAACTGGGAAATGTAGTTGTTGAGTGGACATTTATAAAAAAAATATATGTATAATAATAATAATAAATAGAAAATAAAAAGAATGAAACAAGTTTGGTGAGTAAATGTTACCTGCCAGACTGGGTCTGGACCTCGATGGTGGTGCTGGTAACCGGCAAGTTCCTCCTAAAGGTACACCAGCTAATCGGTGACCACCGCACTTGCGGCAATTGCTTCCGAGTTTCCTGGTAGTTCCGCAAAGGAACTCCGGGCAGGAACATACCACGAGAAGCGGTGCACCCGGTGGTGGGGGTCCCGGTGTCAGAAAGGCTCGAGGATCGTGACCAGGTCTCGACGATCGAACCGTCCCATAAAGCCATGGGTCCCCGTAGATCATCTGACGGGACAGTGCGCTACCGTTGCTTATCGTACCCCAACCCTTAACAGGATCATCTGGGTTTTGATTCTGTCGAGATAAACCCAATCTTACGCTCCACGATTTTTTGTTCTTGCTTAGGGTATCGTAATTCTAAAATAAAAATCATCATTCTTATGAATATTATTGTTATACATTTTTATGAGATTATAATGTAACTATTAAGTAACATATTCGATCGCAAATTGATTGTATTTTTTAAATTTGATTTAATTTAATTTTACTTTATTTTATTATTGTTATTATTATTTTTCTTAAATTATTACAAATCATTTATTATTTATAGATATTTTGAAGTAGGTAATATGAGATAAGTGTAAATTTAGATTATGCTATTAGTGCAGTGTAATTATACTAATACCATTATTATTGTACTAATATGCTATTAGCTTATACTGCACTATTTTATATTAATAGTAATATTAACTTATATTATAGATTATAGTATAATTATATTAATATAAAATATGTATAATTTACAATATTACCTTTTTTCTTTAGTAAAATATAAATATAAATATAAATAAATAAATAAATATATATATATATATATAAAATGAAAAAAGAAATATATCAATTGATTTGTATGATAATTACAAATCATTATTTACAAATCTAGGAATATTTTTTAGAGATTAAATGTAAAAAAAAAAGAAAAAGAAATTAAAGAAAAAAAGAAGATGTAAGATAATAAAAAGATAATAAAAGAAAGAAATGAAACATTAGAAAAAAAATGTTTTAGATAATAATTATTATTCAATTATTATACAAATGAAAACTTTTCATTATCATCATCATCGTCGTCATCATCATCATCATCATCATCATCATCATCATCATCATCATCATCATCATCATCATCATCATCATCATCATCATCATCATCATCTTTGATAAGTTCGATTAAAATTTCTCTATAGTCATCATTGCAATAGGTAATATCCTGATCACGACCTCTAAGCGAAGTTCATTCTCTAACGAAGTTTCAAGACTGAAGAAAAAATTGATAGCGGAAGGACTAATCGATCATTATACGAAGCGTACGTAGAGCCTCTCCTCTCTCTCTCCTCTCTCTCTCTCTCTCTCTCTCTCTCTCTCTCGCTCTTTCTCTCTATCTCTCGTTTCTTGGACCCTGACCTTGAACCCGGTAGAAGGATCATTTGCTAGACGGTTGGAAAAATTTCTTCTTGTGTCTTTCTCGAGATAATCGAACAGAGAAGAAGAGAGAAAGGGAGAAAGAGTCAAAGGAAGACAAAGTATTGTTAGTTCCTTTTCGTTTTGCTTTTTTCCTTTTTTCTCTTTTTTTTTTTCTTGTTCTTTTCCCTTTTTGTTTTTCTCTCAGTTTGAATTACAAGCAAAGCCAACAACTCGTCACTCGTAGAAATCGATATATCCAAAAAGATATATCGAGAAAGCCAAGCTAAGGTTCTCGTCTCACTCGAAACCTGCATTGATCGTAGGGATCGATCGCTCGATCGATCGATCGATCGATTGATCGATCGTCTGGATTTCCCTTTAACGGCACGAAAGGGGGAGATCTCAGTGATTCTCTCTCTCTCTCTCTCTCTCTCTCTTCCCCTCTCTCATACACGCGCACATACACAATTCTTTCTTTCTTTCTTTCTTTCTTTCTTTCTTTTTTTTTCTATCGATCTAACTGTCTTTTTCTTTCTTTATCTCTTTTTTCTCTCTCTCTCTCTCTCTCTCTCTCTCTCTCTCTCTCTTTTCTCGAAGAAGTTGATCGTCAAGTCTCTTCCGCAAATCGTCGCTCGTCAAAGCGAACCACCGACGAACGCATTTATGTTCTTCCCCAAGAAAGGGAAGAAGGAGAAAAGGGTGAGGTTCCTGTACGCGAGTTGAAATACCAAGAAGGAGAAGAGAGAATGTTGGATCGAAGAGGAAGAGGAAGAGAACGAAGAGAAAGAAGAATGAAGAAACGAACATTTCAGGGAAAGTGAACGACGCACGTATCAGCGGTATACCTAGCAATTTAAATTCGATTCCGTCTGGGGAGAAATCGGAATCGACTTTATCATGAACCAAGATTCCGATCGAGAATCAACAACAAGGAGAGATAGTAGAAAAGAGATGGTGAGAGATGGTGGGGTTAAGGTAGAGAGATCGAAAGAAAATCAAGAGGAATGAAACAGTGTGTATAGGAGGAAAAAAGAAAAAAAAATAAAAGAAAAAAAAAACAAAAGAAATAAAAAAGAAAAGAAAAAAAGATCGCAAAGCAAAAACTTCGTAGAAAATTCTTTTGATATTTCTTGAAAAGTACGAGGATTAAATAAAAATCAATGTATACAAGATGGTAACTTCGATTAACTCTAATTAATAATATTATTATAAAATATTAATTAATAATATTATTATAAAATTAATAATATTACTATATTGTCTATACATTAAATTATTTTATACTAATGGATAATATTAACTTATATGATATATTATAGTATAATTGTATTAACATAAGGTACTATTTAATGTTAGACTTTTTTTTCTCTATAGTAGAAAAATTTTAAAACGTAAGAAAATTCTGTACGAACGAATGAAAAAAAAAAAAAAATAAAAATAAAGAAGAAAAGAAAAGAAAGGAAAGAAATTGCACATAAAAAAGTCACAGGAAAAAGGAGTAAATTTAATTTTTAAGGAACTTGTTTGGCACCCCTAGGAACTTTATTTATTGTGTATAATCAAAATAATAATGAAAGAAAGAAATAGATAGATAAATAGATAGATGGATAGATCGTTAGATAGATACATAGACAAACTGATAGATAGATAGACAGATAGAAATAGATGGAGATAGATAGATAGAGAGAGTGAGAGAGAGAGAAAGGGAGAGAGAAATAAAAAATAAAAGATAAATAATACTAATGATAAAAACAAAAACAAATTGAATTAATTTCATCTCTTGACATTAACTTCTCAACTCTTGATTATATAACAAATAACTTCACAACTCTTAGTTATATAATAAAAATATAATATTTAAAAAGAGAAAGGAAAAGAGAGAGAGAGAGAGAGAGAGAGAGAGAGAGAGAGAAAGGAGGAGGGGGAAGGGGGAAAAAAAAAAAAATCAACGAAACTGTAATGGAAAATAAGAAAATGTCATTTAATTTTGTTGAAATGAAAAAGAAAACAGAAGTTTTCTTTTTTTATTTGAAATAAATATCAACCTCAAAAAACTCGTCCTCAAATTTGCTGAGCGAGTAGGAACTAGATAAGAACCAATTTAAAGAAATAAATAGATAACGTAATCGATTTCATGGAGAGAGAGGGAGAGAGAGAGAGAAGGAAATTAAAGATTTTTTGCTTTTCTTTCTCGCTTTCTTCGCTAAGAAACTTCACTCTCTCTCTCTCTCTCTCTCTCTCTCTTTTTCTCTCTCTCTCTCTCTCTCTCTTTCTTTTTCTCTCTTTCTCTCTCTCTTTCTTATTATTAATATAAAAATCAGCGAGAGAAATAGAAAGAAAGAAAGAAAGAAGTTAAGAAAAAAATAGAGACTAAAACAGAGATCGGTAAAAAGCGAGTCGGTGACCGGCTCTAAGGAAGGAAAGGAGAAATAAATGATGGAAGAAATCCAAGAGAGAGAGAGAGAGAGATGGTTCGTTCGGTTGGCTACGACTATGTGGCTCGTCTAGAGAGTAGAAGTATAGCGAGCAAGTAAGTAAGTAAGTAAGTAAGTAAGGACGTACGTATGTACGTAAGCACGTAAGTAAGTAAGTAAGTAAGTAAGTAGTCGTCCGGTCTGACCGGTACGGTCCGGTGTACATTTGAGAGAGAGAGAGAGAGAGAGAGAGAGAAAAGTTCTTTTCGAGAAAGGATCGACGATAGATAGAAAACCGCGACTGACAGTCGCCGATGCCGATCTATGTCTTTCAACGGGGAGAGGGCGTCGATCGATAAGAGAACTCCAAGAATGAGAAGAAAAAGAAGAAAGAAAGACAAAAAAAAAGACAAACAGAAAAATTCAAGCAAAAAGCAAAAAGCAAAGGAAAGGATAGGAAAGGAAAGGAAAGGAAAGCAAAGCAAAGCAAAGCAAGTAAGTAATGATCGAATGCGAGCAATGAACGGATATGTCGAACTTCTTTAAATTACGTTCATCGCACATAAAGATATTATTATATCTGTATGTGTGTTAGTTGCATTCCGAGGATAATTAAATTACGTTCGCCATTATCGTTCGCTTCGATATACGCTCTTTTTTTTCTTCTATTTATTTATTTATTTTTTTTTGTATGTTCCTTTTTTTTTATTTCCTTTTCTTTTCTTTTTATTTTTTTTTTAATCTTCTTTAATTATTTCTCCCACCCCACCCCACCCCCATCCCCTGTCATTTAAACGATTACGAAACTTCCTCTTTCTCTCTAGATAATGACGAGTTTAATCGTCCATTGCGATTTTGTTTTGCCTTGGCTCTAGTGGAAAGCTTTTAATGGAATTACGTTATTTTGATATCAGCGAAGAAAAGAGAGAGAGAGAGAGACAGAGACAGAGACAGAGACAGAGAGAGAGAGAGAGACAGAGAGAGAGAGACAGAGAGAGAGAGAGAGAGAGAGAGAGAGAGAGAGAGAGAGAGAGAGAGAGAGAGAGAGAGAGAGAGAGAAAGTATATGTGTGTGTGTGTGTGTCTTTGTACAAGGATATATATTTATAGTTGGATACGGATAGGATGAAGAGGATGCACGTAAATGGTATAATTAGTTCCGTGTAATATACTCTAATCCAACGTGTACTCTCTAAAGTTTTTGGCTATAATATTGGCATAGAAATGATAAAAAAAAAGCAGACAAATTCGTAAGATATAAGTCAAGGAAAAAAATTTAAAAAGAAAAAAAAAAGAAAAGAAAAGAAAAGAAAAGAAAAGAAAACTTAAGAAATTGCTAGCGACGGAATAACAACAATTCTCTTTTGGTTTACGTTAGCAGAAGAAATAACAGAACAAACAGAAACGGCATCATAAGGAAAAGTATAATCTTGGTAGATATCTACCGTTATTTGTAATCTATCCTCCTACTGATTGTCTAGTTCCGTTTCAAAGGATGTTCTTTAAAAAATCTTGGTTGACACAACTTGGAATAGTTGAAGAG